GTGTGCAGTGTGAGGAGGAGCTCTCCCAGCTCTTACCTGCACCAGCCTCGTGCAGCCCAGCACCATCGTCTCTGACCTGGGGTGTCCACTTTGGCTGCAGTACCAGCACACAGCAGGTGTAGGTTGCCAACAGGACACGGACTGCATCAGTGGTTCATTTGTCAGTGAATAAAGTGTTTGTGGCTTGTTTCACTGGAGGACTTCTCTTTGCTAAAGGAATGTGCTACCTGAGTCTGAAAAAGAGCACAAGCTGTGGAGCAATGTGACTTTGCCTTCCAGCTTGTGCTTTATGGCATCTTCTTGCCAGCAGTGCTGAAGTTATTCAGCAGTAATAATAATAACCAGTAACATTGCCAGTGTGTCCAGCTTCTCCCACCAGTTCCCAGTGTCGTCTAGTCTCTTCTGAATTTGACTACTTTGACTAAGCTCTTGAATAAAAGTGACTGTATGGATGTCCATGGTAACAATGAAATAGAGAGGGGCAGAGTAGAAAAAATGAAGCAGGCTGAAAACCTCTTCTAGATAACAGATCGTGGAAAATGAGAAACTACTTGCTGGCCTGTAATATATAAGCTGAAGTAATGTGCAAATGTTATTTTTATGATAAGCCACCAGTGGTGCAATCCTGCAGAAACTTAAAGATTTCTTGATAATTTCTAAGCATCCCAAAAAGCCTGGTTCAGGACATGAGTCACATGTAAAAGGAACCCAACATTGCCCTCTTGTTACTAATTTGAGTTTTCCACCTCCAGTAGGAAGTATATTTTTAAATACCATTACTTGAACAAAGACAACATTAGCAAGTCAAACGATATTGCATAAGCACTGTTTTTTTTACAGGAGGCCATAAGCATTTTATGCAATTTATCATATTTTATTCATTCAAAGGAAATCAAAGTGAATTCTAAAATTCTATTTCAGAATTAATTTCAATTATTCTAAGAATTAAAATTTTTTGTTAATGGAATAATCCTTCAGTATTAGATTAGTCCAGCATGTTATTCTGATCTCTCGTTTACACATTTTAAAGTGTAAACATCACTGTATGGCAAAAATGTATCTCTAGTCCCCATCATTCACTTAGAACAATAAAAACTGGTGCATGTAACATCTATGATGAAGGCTTAAAATTCACTTGTCTAGCAAATAAATAGGGGTAATAATAACAACATTACTTTGGCATCAGATTCTAATTCATTACTCTCATGAAATAATAGGTTTACTGGGAGATTACTTATAAAGGAAGATTTTATTTTTATCAGCTTCAAATCTTTAATCTAGACGATACCATACTATATTTCTGAACATGTTAAATTCTAAGAATTGAACTCATTGGAAAAACATAATGGGATATGTATTCCATGTTGACTTCTCAATAAGACAATAATGTAAGGAATTGTGTTGATGTAGAAAGAAAATAAGCAAAAGCAAGAAATCTATTTTTTAAGAATTGCTTTCCTTCCAGAAATGTGCTTGCTTAATTTGCATATTAAATTACTTCATTGTATTTTTTCCTTATATAAATATGAAAATAAATTTTATCAAAGCAATTATCACTTAAACCTACCACTATATTATTCACAATAACCTACCTAGTCTTTAATTACACTAAACCAAATTTGCACCCATCTTTGAAAAGGATGGAAAGAGGACCCTGGGAACCCCTGTGTCTGGGAAGATCAGGGAACACATCCCTTGGAAGCTGTGCTAGGGCAGACAGCCAGCACAGCTTCAGCAAGGGAAAGTCCTGCCTGAACAGCCCAGTGGGCTTCTGTGCTGGAGTGACTGCAGCAGTGGACAGGGAAGGGCTGCAGATCTCTCTGCACTTACCTAAGGCCTTTGAAACAGTCCCCACAACATCCTCCCCTCTGAACTGGAGAGACACAGATATGATAATAAGAAAATACAAGATTATAAGAAAGATGTGGACAAACATTTAATAGAGCCTGTTGTAAAAGGAGAAGACTTAATGGTTTTAAACTAAGAGGGTAGTTATGAGTAAGATATTTTTTATGATGAGAGTGGTAAGACTCTGGAACAGGTCTCCAAGCAACCTGATTTAGTTGAAGATGTCTTTGATCATTGCAGGTGGGTTGGACTAGATGACCTTCAAAGGTCCCTTCCAACCCAAACTATTCTATGATTATAATTGAGGATTGACCAATATCAGTATTTGAATTTGTTTGGGTTTTTTTTTCAGAAAAACATTATCTTCATAAGCTTCAAATGGAGTGGATATTTAGTGTATTGACTGCCTTTGCTGAAGCCAATAAAAGACAGATTCCCATGGCAGACTATTCCAGGGCATAACAATGTGAATAGCTGAAAAGAAGAGAAAAAGAAGAATAAAATGAAAGAGGGCAAAGCAGCTATGATAGGAAAATAAGAATGTAAGACAATAGGAAACAATCAACCCTCCAAGTGCGTCTAATATGCAATTCTCTTGTAACACATGGGAGCTTCCAACCAACCATAGCCATCTCAACACCCACAAGCTCCCCTGTTCCACTGAATGTCTCAGCTTGTGTTCTCCCTAATTGTCTGCAAACTGTAGAATAATAACTATATAGATAGGGTTGGAGCTCTGTCTGAGTGAACTGGATGAAAAGTGTGACAGGAATTAGAGAATATCACTGGGGGATTCACATGACCTGTGGTTTCTCCCCTCTCTCTCTGACACATTGGAATTTTTCACTGTGAAAGAAGGACAGTGTACACTGTCTAATTCCAAAACCAAATCACTTTGTCTCAAGATGCCACTGTGGCTACCAAGTAACAGTAATGTCATTTATCTGCCACATGGAAAATGCTTAAGGTTATCAAAAATCTTACAGTACTCATGTATTGAAATACATAATATTCTATTCTACTCAAGAATGAATGAATACATTTTGAGAAACTGTAGGCAGTATAATAAAAGAAAAAAGCAGCTCATAAAAATATTTATATACTGACAAATTAAAAACAATAGGTCAAAAAAATCACCTGAGCATACCTCAGGCAGTTACTTCCTGGAATACCTAGGAAGTCAAAAACAAACCTCCAAATTCAACAGCAAAGTTTACTAGGAATGCTCAAGATGCTATCTGCATCTAAAATGTATAATACTAGATGGAAACAAAACTCTCAATATTACTCTAATTTTGGACTAAGTAAAACTAGAATTTTATCCACTCGAGGATAAATCATGGTTGAACAGTTGGTAGAGACTGAACAGGTAGAGACTAGAAAGCCAAAGATTAGAAAAAATAGAAAGTAAATGCTAAACCTGTCTAAGAAGCATTAAACTTTCAAAAGAATGAATGGGTCTTTTGGACCAGGAAAAAGCAAGCAAGGAGCACAAAAGCAAACCTGAGATACCAAATTATCTCATACTGGCCTGCATCAGTTCAGACTTATCCCAGGTAAAGTCCTTCAAGTTATTAAAATGTTGTCAAAATATGTTGAAACCAACTAATTAGCTGAATAGGAGAACAACCAGTTATAGATAGGTTAAGAAAACAATTGGTGAATGAAGTTCCTTCTAAAAAAGGATTAGGAGTTTTTTTTTTAATGGCCTTTTAGAGAAGTAAAAAGTAATACAGGTATCAGGAATAATCCTGGAAATTATAATACAAGAAGTCCTCTTTACTTTAGCTAAACCATTTAAAATTACTATAAGACGTAAAACATCTCTTCTGACAAAACTGTGCAGTTAATTCTATAGAACATGTATGGAGATTAAACCATCTAAATGTGTATGTGTATATTTGTGTGCTTACAGTAATAATCTGAAATCTGTAAGAACTCAGCAGCTCTTTTGTGAACTCCAGCAGTCCTTACCCATTTCAGCTGTGGCTGTCTGAACCACAGTTGTCATCTTGCTGTTCCTGTAATGAGAAAGGAATTTATTTTCCTGTATCTGGGCTGAGATAACAGGTTTGCCATACAGAGCTGACTATTCACAGAAACTTTTCATTTGTAAATGTAGCACACTCTGCTGTGGTATTTTAAATCTTCTAAGCTGATTTTTGTGAACTTGTCAAATTGGAACTGCTTTCCTCTCTACTAGTAAAACCACTCAATTTTTTAGTTCATCGTCTGCTGCTTCTTAGCACAACTGTCTTTCTCTTAGGGTCTGTATGGCAGTTCCAATTAAACAACACTACCCTAAATGTTTTTTCTCCACTCTTGAAATATGTTTTTGTTTCATTTTTTTATTTCCAGTAGAGTAGTTATGAAAATATTGAACAAAAAGTAAAAAACTTGCTTGATTCTGTTTAAAAAGAAGAGGCAATAACAACAGCCAAGAAAATTAACCAGATAGTTCTTTTAATAAATACATTAAAGTCTCTTTTATTTTTCTTCATTTTTAGCGACTAACATAACAAAAACTTTCAGACCATCAAACCAGTTTTCACAATCTGCCATAAATTTGCATTTCACAGAAATAATCCTGACAAGCACTAATATATGAACATTGTTGGTGCAATAATAAAACAATATAAAGGCATATTTACACCATCCTTACATACAGAACACTGTACACACAAAAAAATCACAGATCCAGAACAAAGTAATTTCAACCCCTTAGACATTTTATGTTTATAGGCTTGGTATCAAACAAGTAATTCTCCAAGCAATAGACAACCTCTTGTTCTTGTGTGATTTATTTGTAATATTGTGCTCATGCAAAATAGGTATTTGCTTTATTGCATTAACATTGAGAGAATGTTGGGAATTAGTTCCAAAACCAGTTCAATTGAATTTTAAACCCTGTTTCTCTTCATCCTTAGCAAGTCTGAGTCAGTTTTAATTGGTGACATAAAATGAGGTGTTAACTGATGATTGAGATTATTATTTGTTAAGTTCCAAAACAACAATGAAGCTCAACTGCCTGTGGTTCAAAAACCATCTTTCTTGACCATGCAATTTTTTTCTTTTCTATTATGAAGTGGTTTAGATGAGACACCTTTTGCATTTTTAAAGTTTCTATCTTTATATATATATATTTTTAAAGAAAAACATGTACTATCCAACATCCACTGTTCACAGAAAGAAATAAGCAGCAGGAATAGCTCTGGTGGCAGAGTTGGCCAGGAGGAGGACATCAGTAAGTTAGAGGCAACGTAACAAACAGCAAATGCCTCAGAGATACGTCAGGAAAGAGTTGATTACTATAACCCATATTTCTGTAAAAGTTCAGACTGCCAGGGACGTTTGCGCTCTGGAAAGTAATCTGGAATGTGGATTTTTTTAAAATCTTGAATACATTTTCTCATTTCTTCTTCAACACTCAGCTTCTCACACACCTTCTTCTTAGAGAGGTTTGTTTCTCTGGACTTGCTAATGAGAGTTTGAAAGAGTTCACTGTTCCTGCGTTTGTCTGGGGGTGGCATCCACTGCACTGGAGCCTTCTTAGAGGGACGATCCAAGGTCAGGGTATTTGGCTGGTGGGCTGTGGACGGCTGAGTGCTGGTGGCATTTTCTTGAGGGGTGCTCGCTTCCGAGTGGCTGTCACAGCTTGAGGTGGACAACTCGTTACAGGAAGTCCCACTTTCACTGCCCTTGTCCAAAACTTTGTCGTGCTTCCTTTCCTCGTGGTCTTGTTTGGGGGAAATGGTTCGCTGGGGGGGCCCTAATATAAAGCAGGAGAGAAAAAGTATTAAGCAAGCACTGCTTTACACAGCAAACTGATCAGATACCATTTAGAAAAAACACATTTAGAGTCTCATCTGGCAAAAGCTGATGTCATTTCCTTGTAGGCAACAAAACTACACCTAATTGGTACACAAATTGAAGGTCTGGTCCTCAAATTTCTCACTCCTAAAATTGTTTACAGCAAGAATAACTCCACTGCCTGCCTCAGAATCCAGGTAACGAAGCATGCGTGATGCTCACAGATTAGCTGCACTGGAAATCCTTGCACACAAGTTTAAATGAACTAGTTTGTATTGCACTGCAAGAAGTTTATTATGATAAATTAGATTTTGTTACATAAGGGAAATACTACTGTACAATTTGCAAGCTCTTCACTTGAATAAAAATATTCCGAGTACTTAGATTTTATTTTTTATTTGAAAGCTCTTAATTTACCTTCCCTGAGTCTACTGATACTGTGCTGTGCAGATGTCAACTCTGTAGAAATCCTGGGAAGAAAAAGGAGAATTAAACCTAGGATAACAGAGAGATCGCTCACTGCTGACAGAGTCTTTAGGGTTTTGGGGTTTTTTATCCTATAATGATTTCACTGCACTTCTTACTGTCAGTTACCCAGACTTGGTGCAAGCTCAGAATTCAGCTGTACACCTCCTACTGCACAGGCTGGCAGGGAAAAGGAGGTTATGAAGTTGTGGGTACAAGAGGCACTCTGCCATGGCAGGGGGAGCAGCCCACCAGCCTCTTGGCAGGCTCTGCTCAGCAATTCATACGCCTGAAAATCAGATCTAGGCTCTTATTCCCTCCATATATCATTTTTGCTTTGAAGTCTTAAGCAGAATATGAATGTGAAAATTTAGTGGTAGCCACTAAATCTGTACAAGCATTTTCAGTTTTGAAGACTTATTTCAAAACTCCAGCTGTGGAGTGGAATTATGCTATGCTGACATCATATAAACGTCACAATCTTAATTTAGGACACTATCTAAAGTTGACAGAAATATCTATGGAGTTTAAGGAGTGTTGGACTGGACCAAAGGGGAAAATTTCAGAGATGTTTAAGGATCTAAATGAAAACGTAGAGAGGGGATTCAGTGGCAGTGGTTTGTTTGCTACAAATCCTGGAAGCATCCAAATAGGTTGGGTATCTAAGTATCTTATGAAAGCTAGATTATCCCTACAGTTTATCCAGACACCACCAGCATCAGTTAACTGCCTTTGCCAGCACCAAAACTCAGAGTACAACAGTTCTACCTTGGGTCACTGGGACAGAGTTGCAACATTTTTGATTCACTTAGCATTTTGTTGTTCAGAATTACAAATTAGAAATGCAATTACAATTACAAAGAATGCAGAAACAATATGAACACCCCAGTGGTCTTTGTGATGGTGCAGTTCTGTGACTCAAAGGAACCTAAGAAGATTGCAGTATTTTAAATGAGACAGTGAAAAACAAAACAAAGCAATACACAACGAAAAATAAAGATTAGTCTAATAATAGCATGATTCAACAACCTGCTTCTCCTTTTGTTTTAGCCAGCATCCCAGGATGCTGTGTCCCATTTCTGTAGTCCATCTAGAGAAACCCATGAATAATCAAGAGCCAGAGAGACAATCCTACAGGGCTTGTACTTACATTATGCAGAGTGAAAAACAAGCAATTTTCTGCTTCATTATATTCAACCCAAATATTTAACACATGGCTGCATGTGCAGTGGCTGCAGTGATTTCCCTTCTCTTTCTTTTTCAGAAGTATGATCACCTTCTTAAATAGATTTACATGCCTTCCTTCTATTGTTGTATCTCACATTTCATTTCATACCTCAAACGATTATATGAATATGCTAAATTGAGAGTCAGCTGGCATTATGGAACTACTCTGGCTTTGCAGCATGCAATTATAAAACTGAGTAGTTAATCAGACAGTGATTTCAGTATTGTTACTCTGATTTTCAGTAACATGATTAACATCAATATCTAATCTGGTTTACAATCTTAGCTTCTTCAAATACAACAACACACTAAGAAAATGACTAAGAAAATAAAGCTTTTTGTTTGTAGTACTCAGTAGTCTTCAAGTCTCTTTCCTGCCCTTTTCTTTTGCTGCAACTTCATATATCAAGATGTTATTTCTTGTTGGCTGCTTTGTACTTAGTTCTTTATTGGTACTCCATGCTTCTCATGGGCTCAAACCTGCCATGCACTAAGGACCTGTTTCAGAAAAGCACACTGAAATATACCTTCAAGAATATAAAAAGATCCATTTCCTGCTATAAGATTATTCAGGAGCATGACAATAGGCAGGTATTTAAATGCCTTTTTGGATCACAGCCCTGAGGTTCAGTATCTTACAGCACTGAGTTCTGTATGCTTCACTGAATCGCCGAAATTCACAATGACTTTAATCGAAACACAAGTTTCTCCCACACCTCTCCTTTTAAAAATTAACAAATCCTCCCTCACAAAGAATTCTTTATATGTCTATGCACTGCTTTCTCAGTAGTGTGTTATTAACAGAAGTAACAGTTCTGCTAGAGGGGAGGTTTTCCTCACAGTATTTTCTGCCTGCTGAAACCCAGTAGAATTTTAATATATATGTAAAAGGATCTAGAAAAGATTTGTTTGATTTTCAACATCAGGGATTATCAGATAAATTTAGCTATTTCTAATTCAAAAAGCTCCTCCTTATTGCCCTTTGTGCTGCTACATTTTTCACTGTACCTCCTCAGCCATTCCAGAATAACACCAAAGACATTCAAGTAGTTCAGTCTACCTGAAACTACTTATTTTCCAGGAGTGCAGAGCAGTTCTTTAAAACTCAGAGAAAGTATATTTTCTCCACTGTGCACATTGAATCATAGGATGGTTTAAGTTGGAAAAAACCTTTAAGACCATCAAGTCTAACTTCTAACCTGACACTGCCAAGTCCAAATACAACACTAAAAAAAATCACTGGCTTAAAACCTGTCTCTCCTGCTCCTGCCTGTTCCAGGACCTCCACCAGCTGCTGGTTCCCCAACTTGGAGAGGCTGAAGTGAGTCACAGCATCTTGGTCCTCTCCAACTCATTCTCCTCTGCAAAGATATGTGCAGTTGCCCTATCCACTGCCCAGTTCTCCTAACAGCTCCCAGGTAGCACTTCTTCTCCCGGCAGTTCCAGTAGACATTGAACATCCCACTTCTTTTTTCCTTTAATGCTCTTATATGGCTGCATCTCTCCCAGAAAGTTAGAAAGTGAGCTAGGCCTTTACCTGGGCTTACTCATCACCTCTGCTATGGTGGTGCCATGGGTTAACCCCAGCCAGCAACCAAGTACCATGCAGCCACTTTCTCACTATTCCAAGACCAGGATCCAGGAGAGAATCAGAAAGGTAAAAGCAAGAGAACTTATGGGTTGACATACAGACGGTTCAATAGGGAAAGCAAAAGCAGTGCACAAGAGCAAAGAAAAACAAGGAATTAATTCCCTGCTTCCTATGGGCAAGCAGGTGTTAGCCACCTCCAGGGAAGTAGGACTCCATCCCATGTAACAGTGACTCAGGAAGACAAATGCCATCATTTCCAAAGTCCACCCTACTTCCTCCTCCTTCCCCAACCCCCCTTTATATACTGAGATGATACCACATGGTCTGGAATATCCCTTTGGTCAGTTTGGGTCACCTGTCCTGGCTGTGTCGCCTCCCACACACCCCCAGTCCCTTCAGCAGTGTGAAAAGCAGAAAAGGCCTTGGCTCTGTATAAGCCCTGCCCAGCAATAACAAAACCATCTCTATGTTGTCAACCCTGTGTTCAGCACAAATCCAAAACACAGGTCCACAGCAGTCACTGTGAGGAAAATTAACTCTACCCCAGCTAAAACCAGCACAGGTGGCTACTAGACTCCCAAGACTAATAGACTCAAAAGAATATCTCAGAGACATTTCTCTGATCAGGAAGGCATATTACATTTACTTTGACTGTATTTATTCCTCATCTGTGTTGCTCTCTGCACAGATTTTAGCCAACATTTCCTGAGAGAACTAATAAAAGAATCCCTTTCAATCTCTAGAAAATATGCATGGAAAATTACCTAGAAACTTATAAACTTAATTCTCTGAAGTGAAAACCTGCTTCTATCAGTTATAACAACCAAAACAGAAACCAGAAGAAATTCTCTCTGACTTCCTGGTCAAACGATAGCTGAGCAACAGAGCCCAGTCAGAAAAAGAAGAGGCCAAACACCACAGCAAATCATCCAGTAACCAAAAACTACTGGTTGAAAATTGTAACCATGTATTTACATAAATTGCTGCAGATATTCGTAAACTGAAGTCTGAATAACTATTCAAAGACTTTTTTAGCTCTATCAATCACCTGCATCAAAGAAAAATACCACACTGAAAACACTAAAGGCATAAAATAAGAATTTTCTGCTTATCTATATTTCAATTTTTGTATACACTTATTTTCTTAAATATTTGTACAACAGTCTGAAAACAAATAATATTCAAGCACTGTTACCACAGAAGGTCTTTGCAAGAGATAAGCACAGAATGGAGTGACAGGATGGCCTGGTGGAAGAAGATCTTGTTAGCACATCCTGGGTAATCCATCTGGAAAAGAAATCCCGCTGTGGCAAACGCTGTAAAGAAGCAACTGCTCATATGCATATCACTGGTGAAACAAAGACCACCCCAAATTATGGGACAGATGGAATCTCTGACCACCACCAAACCCTCCCTGCCAAACAGACCTCCGTGGATTGCTGGAGCTTGGACTGTAAGATAAACCACCACAGTGGGAACTTGAGAAAAGATAAAGGTGGTACTCTTGTCCAGGTGTTACCTCAGACTGAGGGGCAGGCTAGCAAGGCTTGGGGAGAAGGATGTATCACTAACAATGGATAAAGAGAATGCAGAATTTGCAGGCCAGAGGGCAAGCCAACTCAGCAATTATGTTGAAGTCAGCTCTGACAGGGTAAAAGTTCTGGCAGGGGGAGATT